TTGTAATTATACATTTCTCGGAGTATTTAATTTGTACAAAATTTTAAAATTTCTATTCCATTTCAAAGCAATCTTATGTGAACAGGCAGAGACTGCTGCTTTCTTCTAGGCGAACTTCTTTTAAAGCAGCTAGATTGTGAGGCTAACACGACAGTCAGAGCCTCGATAGACGGCTTCTTTTTGATGCCTTTCTTGCAGCCGTATACCTCACAGAATTTAAAGTACAACCCACAAATTTGCTAGCCATACCCTAAAAAATTAGACCAGCGATGACATTACTAAAAAATTTAGAGGTTCCTACCCATGACACACCAAGCGTCCATATTCCAGAACCAAACCACTGAGGACCCCTGGTTTTAGCTAAGAGGACCAGGCATATTTCTCTACAAGAGAAAGCAAAGCCCTCACATAAAAAAGCTTAAAAGGGGAAAACATGCATAAGGCAAAGGGAACTTTCAACTTTCAAGACTACTGAAACTGGCTGGTGACTGTTAGCTTTATCATCTTCAAAAACACTCAAGATAACAACTTTAGACTTGTGATGGGAAACTTGGTTTCTGTTCTTGGCTCTCAATGGGAGATTCAGGCAACCACTGTTCCTCAGTTTCCCTGCCAACTAAATGCAAAGTTTTCATTCACCGTGTGGTTTTAGTGCAATTCTCAATTCTAAAATAGTATTACTGTCCAAACAAAAGGAGTCATTACCTTATTATAACCACTGACTGGAGAGTAGGTCACAGCAGGGCTGTATGAGCTACTGCCGCCTGAGGACAGACCTTGCAGTTGAGGGCTATACCCAGTCATACAGCTGGCAGCAAACTTGGGACTGGGACTAGGTGAACGGGACGGGCTATAACTTAACACACTCTGACCCTGGATTGAAGGGGAAGGTGGAGAGGGAGGGACTTGGGTGGCTGCCAGATCCCGGGGAGGTGTAGTCTGCACAACTAGAAGGAAAAGAACATAAATCACACACACAATATGCTTAAAGTTAAACAAAGATTTTAAAATTAAGTCTTGTTATGTAATGCAGGCTAGCCTTAACCTTAAGCTCTTCCTGCCTCAGTCTCTTGGGTATAAATAAAATTATGGAAACCGATTTAAGGGCTGGGTGTGGTAAGGCATGCTTTTAATCCCAACACTTGGGAGGCAGAGGCAGGTGACTCTCTGAATTTAAGGCAAGGTCACTGAGGGCTATGGAGACATCAAAAGAAAGTAAAAGAAGTATCTGGCTATTAAGTTACACAAAGCATTATTTCACAAATACAACTAATCAGTTGTTTAGCATTTCCACAATGTCCTAAACAGTAAAGCATATTTCCATGAAGTTGATATTCCACCCAATTCATACAAATAACAATGATAATCACATGACAATTGCCTATAGACTGGCTTAAAAGTCTGCTAGCTCAGAGTCTACGAGAAGGGAAAACTAAAAGGACCAGTGCTTTCTCCCCATGCTGCACTTACCAGCTGTTTTCAGCCCTAACAGTGCCTGCTGCCCGGGGCTAACCACCAGATTTGTTGGTGCTACAGTATATTTGAAGTATCTCCAAAAATCAAATAAGGCATTAAGACTGAAGAGAGACGCCAGGGCAAGCTCTGGAAGAAAACAACAACTATTATTATACTATTATTAAAAAGACTCTTGTTATTTTTTTATTTGTGCAGGGGGCACATGGAGGACAGAGGACAAGTTGTGGACGTTGGTTCTTTTCTCTTTCCATATTGGTTCTAGGAAATTAAACTCAGGTCATAATGCCTGGTAGAAGTGACTTTACTCCATGAGCCACCTCTCCAGCTCCAATTAATTAACTAACTAACTGATTAACTAATTTTGGGTTTTCCAAGACAAGATTTCTCTGTATAGCCCAGACTGTCCTGGAACTCACTGCGTAGACCAGGCTGGCCTAGAATTCAAAGATCCACCCAAGTACAGGGATTAGAGGCAACCCCAGCTGTTTGTGAAAAGCAGAAAGGTCTTGGTTCCATTTTCAGCCAACTGGTTGGGGAATACAAATCCCTTCATATTTTTTTAGCAAATTAACATCAAAAATGAAAAACTAGCTTCTTATTCCTCACAACAGATACCACTTAATCAAAGTCTAGTAAGTGTAGGGCATTTGCCAGTGAGTTTTAAGCTAATTACTAATTCTTATAACAAACCTGTACAATAGGTGTTTTCACATTCATTTTAATAGTCAAGTGAGCTTTAGGAATCCCAGCCTGTAAGCCAGGACTCTACCATAGGCCTGATGATCCTGAATCCCTTCCTTTTCCACCTGCCACACCCACTCTGATGGATTAACAAAAGATTTTTTCGTTATTGTATGTGTGAGTGTTCTGCCTATATGCATGTATGTGTACCGGGTGCTTAGCTGGTACAGGCAGAGGCCCAAAGACGGTGTTGTACTTACCACTTGGGTACCAGGAACAAACCTGACCCTCTGCAAAAGCAGTATGTGCTCTTAACCTCTGAGTCATTTCTCTATTCCTCCACGGTTGGTTATTTTTCACTTACTCTTTTGGGTGGTCTGCCACCCAGCTCCCAAATAAATCACACACACAGAGGCTTATTATTATTAGGAATGCCCGGCCTCAGCTCAGCTCAGCTTGTTTCTTACCAGCTTTTGTTAACTTAAATTATGGCATCTATCTTTTGCCTCTGGGCTTTCGTCTTTATTTCCATATACCTTTTCTTGCTCTGTGGGTAGCTGTGCAGGTGGCTGGCCCCTTCTTTTCTTGCTCCTCAATCTCTCTTGCTTCTTCCTCTAATCTTCTACTTATTCTCTCTACCTGTTGGCTATGCCCATTTCTCTCTCCTGCCTTGCTAATGGCCATTCAGCTCTTTATCAGACCTATGAGGTGTTTTAGACAGGCGCAGTAACACACCTTCACAAGAGTTAAACAAATGTAACACATGAACAATTGTAACACACCTTGAAATAACAACCTACAATGCTCCATGATAGATTTCTTTCTTTTCTCTTTGTTTGATTTTCCAAGACAAGGTTTCTTTGTGTAGCCCCAGCTCCACAGGAACTCACCTGTAGACCAAGCTGGCCTTGAACACATAGAGATCCACCTGCCTCTGCCTCCAGAGTGCTGGTATTAAAGGTGAGGGCCACCACCACTGGCTCTCCACAAAAGATTTCAATTTCATAGACTACAAATGTATTTTAACATCCCTAGGACTCTTATATCTTAAGGATTAATTTGGACTGGTCTCGAAGGTGAAGAATTGGAGGAAATATTTCAGGATTGGCAAAAGTAAATCTTATCCACAAGCTTTATTTTCCTTCTTACAACTCCTAACTACCTAACTCTGTATTGTTTATTGGCTTTGTTTACTTGTTTAGAGACAAGGTCTCATGGCCCTCTGGCTTCTGATTCTTCTTCTATCTCCCAAGTACTGGCATTTGATGGTCACTGCCATTCCTGGCTTCTTGTTTCTTTCTTTCTTTTTTTTTTTTTTTTTTTTTTTTTTTTTTTGAGACAGGGCTCTGCTATTTATCCCAGACTGGCCTGAAATTTGAAGTTATCCTCTACAGTTTCCATCATTTTGGGAAATAAAGTAGGTAGCTCATTATCTGTCTGCATGAAGAGTGAAAATACTAAGATGAATTAAAACTATAAGCAAGTTTTCATTTGTAGTAAATCTAAATCCCAATGAAAATTAACTACTTACCAATATACCAGAGGGGCCAGTATGTCACATTATAATATGTACTAATTAACTTTCCAGTCCTGAAAAGATTAGAAATACTTTTCAGTTATTTAAAACAAGACAAAAACACCCCCAACTCCATCACAAACCAAACCAAACACTGAAAAACCAAAAGAAATATGAAAAGCCATAGAACCAGCCAATGGTGGTTTAAAATTTCACTTTTGGGCTAATTAACTTACATTTCAGTATATATCATTCCAGCCATGGATACATTTAGGAGTCCCCAGGCTAAAACCACTTTCCTAGTTTCTGTTTCTTTTCTCATCTTGATGGTTCTGTCAATAAGAGAAACATCGGGGCTGACATCTCCTTGCATCTATTCAAAAGTAAAAAAACAAAAACAAACAAACAAACAAAAAACCGCCTGGAATTAATCAAGAGACATTAAAAGTGTCTGTTGTAAAGTAACAACTCCACAGCCTTTTCCTCTTCCCTAGCATTTCTTCCCAACCCTCCCTTCCCCCTTTAATATTAGTATATGAAAAGGGAATCCTAAAATGACTCTTTGGTACTACAGAGAAATCAACAGAGAACTGGCTGGCTATTTCAGAGAAGTTAAATGATAATGTCTTGTCTTATAGTGTAAAGTAGTGGTTTGTTATTAAGTCTGCAAAGAATTCACGTTTTGTCTCCGACTAGGGTATGTTACTAGGTCTAGATGAAGAGACAGGACATACCAACTTTGTCATTCCTGTGATGGAGTCTAACCCTGACCTTGGACTGATGCGGCCCCGGGATCTCTTTTTGGTGACGGACTTTCGAGGCTTTACTGAGGAGGTGGACGGGGATGGCACGTGAGGGGTCAAGGGCGCGCAGGGGACACGTGCATCCAGTTTTGGTACCCTGGAACTGTATGTCCTTTGTCTTGCTAGGCTCAGCTCTGCAATCACTGACATGGCAGCTCCTGGGAGTCGTATTCTACAGAGCAGACTACTATCCTTCCCGCCATCCAGCCCCGCGCCAAAACTCCCTGGCTACCTCTGGGCAAACTTTAGTCATCCTTCGTGTGTCTTTCTTCCCTTCCACTAAAAGTGGCAGGGCTTCTGGCCACATCCTCCCCTGGCTGAACCCCAGGCACAACTTTAGGCGTGGAACTCTGGGGGACCGCGTGGACTCCACGTCCGGAAAGCACAAAGACGACCCCCAAAACGCACCATTTTCTCCAGCCGGAAGCCACGGACTCGCGCCACTCACTACTGCACATGCGCGCAGCCAAGCCTAAGGCGGCAGCCGGCTAAAGAAACTACAGTTACCGGAAGGACCGGGCCTTCTCTTCTCGCGAGAAGGAGAGGGTGGGGCAGAGGGACCAGGGCAGCGATCGTTGCCAGGGAAACGCCCTCGGATTTGTGGCACCTACTCAGCTACAGAGAGTAAACTGAGCTGCAAAATTCAGACCAGGTTCTGAGCCCTTAGTAAAAAGTAATGACTGTAACAAGCTGAATCTTGAATATTATTAATTGTAGATTTATTCAGGACCCTCATGGGCTCACATTTGTAAGCAGGTTTTATTTAGCCGGATGACTAATTGGTAGGAGACAAGCATGCCTGATGTGTCCAGACACAGCAACGACAAAGCATTTCCCCTGCTTTGAAATGTTTTTTCCCCCAAATCGATCTGACCCGGTGTGAATTCTCAAAAACCCACCTAATGAGGATGCAGTAGTAAGAGGAAAAATTAGGAAGTTCTATTGAAGATAGGGGTTTTGAAACTAAAAGCAAAAGCAAAAACCCACGTTTGCCCTGAATGTTCTTTGAAAGAACTGAGGAAAAGTTCGCCAGGGAGGTGAGTTGGGTTTTACTTGGTAGGTAGTTCAGGTTCCTACAGTGTATCACTGCACCGGGTGTGGAATGTGGGGCGGGGGAGAAACGCTCCCTGGTTATTGCTCCAAAGGTCTTTGCCCGAATCCTACAGGTGAGGTGGAAACGGGCAGGCCTGTCCACTACAGTCTAAGCTCTGGAAGAGCTTTCTCGGGACTGGCAACTCTGGCCCATGTATCCAGGACCTGGGGACTCATTCCACAGAAAAACGTGCCAGCCAGGCATGGTAGTATATGCCTTTAATCCTGGTACTCAGAGGTCAGAGACGTGTGGATCTCTGGAGTTCAAAGGTCAGCCAGGGCTACATAATGAGAGTGTCTCAGAAAACGTAAATAAATATCAAGATTAAACAGGAAAAAAAAAAATGAAGTGTCATTATGGTGTTGTGTAGAAAACTGGCAGGTTACTGTATGCTTTTAAAGACCTAATGGGTTTTTGTTTGTTTGTTTGGTGAGATTTTTATGTCTATATTGGTTTGGCGCAGTGTTGTTTGGATCTAGATACAGATTTAGAGATGAACTAACTTGGGAAACTGTTCAAAGAGAAAGAGTTCAATTCAGTGTACAGTCAAATCAGAATGCCGGGTTTGTCATTTCTCTACGTCCAAGTCTACCTAGAAATTGATGCAGTTCTTAACAGGGGTCTGTTTCCTCTTTTTAATATAACAAGCTATTGGGCACTTATTCAAGGCTTATACAACACTTATCAGATTAAAGTTGATAGATGGTTGCCATTATCTATTATTAGTTATTGTAACAATATCCCAAAACATGGAGTGCCTCTTCCAAGGGGAAAAACAACAAACTGGCGACTGTCTGTACTTTAAAAGAGCAGCCATTCCTACGCACAGTTTGGAAAGAGGTCAGCAGGGCTAGCCTCTTCTAAGCCAGGTGGTGTTGGCTTGCCCATGGCCTCATCTGATGCTCTCTTACAGCTTTTCCTCGGTGAACCCTTGGTGCCCTTTCCTCTTCTTTGAGACTACTAACTATATTAAGGCTCCATCCATCCTTATGACCTGATAGGCCCTCTGTAACCTCTTTAAAGGTTTTGAAGTTTTATTGTGTGTGTGTGTGTGTGTGTGTGTGTGTGTGTGTGTGTACCTATGTGTGGGTTCTTAAGTGCCACAGTGAACATGTGGAGGTCTTCAAGGAGACTGTATTCTCCTTCTGCCATAGGATCAAACTCAGGCTGAAAGCCTTGGCACCAAACACCTTTACCCATTGAGCCATGTTACTGTTTCTTTGCTACCTCAGTTCTAGCCATATCTTCAAATACAAGATGGTGCTAAAGGCACCCACATTTAAATCTTAGAGAACACACAATTCAGCCTGTAATACATTAGAATTGTGTGTATTTATAATGGTATGGTATACATTATAAAAGAGGCTGATTAAAAAAAAACCAATACCTTAAACACTTAAACAGATGAAAATAAAGTATTTGTAAATTTCAAAGAAGAAAAGACTTAGGCAGAAGAAAGTGTACTGAAAAATTCAGGAACTATTCCAGATAAATCCACCCATCTAATCCAAGAAGACTTATCAGTTCCTACAACAGTTGCCTAAGTGTATGTCATAATAGGTTGCCAGGGAAGTTGTCATAGGCCATGGAGGGAAATCGTTCCCAGTCACCTTCATCCCTTTGAGCATGTTTTATTTTCTAAGCAAGAAGCTATCATGGGAGACCTTTTGTCTTTATTCTGGGAGGTGGAGCCCCCTCCCATACCCCTCAGTTTTGCCATTCCAAGCCAGGATGCTGAGTGCCTGAAAGATGATTCTTGTGGGACAATAGGCAGTTTCCTGCTTTGGTATTTCGTCATCATACTGATCCTCATGTTCTTCTCTCGGGCTTCGGTCTGGGTAGGGAATCCTTTCGCTTTAAATCGTGTCTTTATAAGGATTTTCGTCAACTACAATGTCTGTAGATTGATGAAAATAGTTTTTAAAGGTTTGTGTTTTGTTTAAAAAAATGATTCTAAAGTTATTGAAAAGGATAAAGAACATTAAAAGCACTCTAGCTTTCTTGTAGAGATAAATACTATTAGAGGTGTGGAGAACTTCCTTCTAGGTTACTTTTTTCCATGCTTTTTCTCAGTGTATCTCTTTATCTTTGCCCTTGCATGGTCAAACTTATCTTGTATGTGTTTTCATATCCTGACTTTGGAAATACTTCCCCATGGTATAGTCACTCAACAGCACTTTTCATTATAACTTTTCTGTCTTATAGTTGCACTATAAAAATTCTGCAGTTGGAAATTTAGGTGGTTTACATTTTGTCCTATGTAATACAGAGATAAATCTCTCAACTGACTAATGACTTCCAAATCCTGCTTATAGCTGTGTAATTCTATTATCAAAGATATGCTTGTTACATTGATAGGACACATGTAGGATTTAGTTAGTGCTTAGACTGAAGCAATATATTTTCTGAATAAAATAAAATACAGAATTAAACTAAACAGAGCTAAAGTCTTACATCTGTGGCTCTTAGTCACACATTGGCAAAAGAAAATTCTAGAAGCTTAGGAATGGCATAGTCCACTTCATCAAGACCGTGGGCCTCAACGTATTATGAGCAACTAACCCCTTAAAAATTGCTGACACAGAATTTTCTCTGGCCATTAATAACAGGCTTGGTGATTAATCAAGCTACCACAATTTAGCATTACAGCCAGACATCACTGCTGGCAGTGGTCAGCTAGATTGAGTGCTACATTAGTTCTGGATGGAGAAGAGAAGGTTTGTTACTTTGTTGCTAGGTAAATCCCATTATAATAATAATAATTAAAAAAAAAAAAAAACTCTTCCCCCTATTACCTCCTGGCCAAGAAGTTTTATCTGAAGTTTAAATGCTTCTTAAGGTAAAAACTTTGCCAGAAGGAGAATTAGAACAGTGATACGTGTTTTAGGCTGCCTGGCTAAGTATATTGAATTTGGCCTGGCAAGAAAAGCTACTTTAGAAAATTAACAAGAAGTTGGAATTGATCACTGGCAATTTCATCATGAAGATCATTTAAGAGATCTAAACTATACTTTTGTCCCCTCGCTTACACCAGCAATTTGGAGTTGTAGAGCTATGCTTTAAGGACTGAAGGCGGGCATGTGGCCCAGTGTTCTGTCTGTAGGCGAGAAAAATACTCATCCACCCTACTTCCCCCCACATCCCCTTTGGTTGATAAAGCCCAAAGAATTTAAGTAACGTGTCCAATGTCACACAAGTAGTTAGTGACAGAGTGACAGCTGGAGAATGGATCCAGATTTCCTGCCATATTATTTGTTTACTTCAAAGGTTAGTTCAAAATGTTGAATTAAATCTATTCAGTGCTGATTAAAACCTTAATTATCCTTGAGGTTTCATCTTTCCCTTTGTGCCCTTGTGGCAGCTACAAGTTGGTTGGCCTGCTTCTCGTGAAGGGTCCCAGATTTGAAATCTGAGAACTGTATGAGAACCAGTCAAGGAGGATGGAATTTTCCCCTTACTTTGAACTTCTTCATTTGCTCTACGAAACTGTAGGCCTCTATGTCCAAACCTTTAAGCAGTGGTAGAAATTACCCTCCAACAAGCAACATGCTGATGGCCTCTAGATCTGTCTCTTTGTAAAAGATGTGTTTTCCCGTTTGCTTACAGATATGAGCTACTCTGCTTGTTTAGCATTTATTAAGATTGCTAGTGCTGGGCTTTATTTTTCTAGACGATATTAATATGAAATCTTTATTTTTGCATATGTAGAAATTGAACTTAGAAAGTCTTAGAGTCTTGGTTGGCAAGACAGAGATGGCAGTGTGGCAGAAAGCTAGCATCCAGCCCACATTTTCTGCCCCGCCCTGCAGAGTAACCGCTGTCACTATTCTCCCTCACTAAGTTATACATGGGGGCAGCTAGTGAAATGCTTGTGCGAACCACAACTCACATGATTCCACTTAGTTTAATGCAAACTCTTTCTTTTGATTTTGTGGTTGTATTTTGACTTGACATTCAATGTGGAAGCTCTCCATGGAAATTATTTTAGAAATCTTTTCTCTCAACTACAAAAGTGCACAAGCTTATAGGAATGTAGATAAAATGTAACAGAAACCACTCCAGATTAGATGGATATCACCAACTACTATTAACATCTAGGTTTACAAACATCTGATCTTTTAGTACCTCTCTCTATACATCTTAAATTTAAAATGTGCACAGTGTTCTAACACATTATTTTTTTAAACTGCATCTTTAAAAATGACTTCACTGTTGCTGGTCATTGGTGGTGCACGCCTTTAATTCCAGCACTCAGGAGGCAGAGGCAGGCAGATTTCTGTGAGTTCGAGGCCAGCCTGGTCTACAGAGGGAGATATAGAGAAAGCAGTGAGCTATCAAATTTGTGACAAGCGTGGTGGCATGCGCCTGTAATGCCAGTACTGGGGAGGTGGATGCAGGAGGATCTGGAGATTCAGGGTCACTTTGGTTACATGGTTCATTCCAGGCTAGCTGGGCTATATGAGGCCCTGTCTTTACAAAGCTAAAAAATTTAAAACTAATGTAACATATTCAGGCAGAGCACCTTGCAATCTAAGTAAGTTTGACTTTTTGTACAAATTGTGTTTCGTAATTATAGACAATTTGAAAAAAGGAACAAAATCACCATTTTAACCATCAAAAGCCTACCTTTGCTTCATACATGTTTCTTATATACTTATGTCCTTTGGAGTCTTCCCAGATCTTTAGCTTTCTTGTCATCATGCTGTTACATATAAACTTGCATCTTGATTTTAGCCTGATAATCAAACGTTTTCTCACATTATGACATACTTACTTAAGATATTTACAACTATATCTTACATGATCACACCATAATCTAGTTAACCATTATCTACTTTTGAATTTAAGTTTTATGTTATTCTATATATTATACCATATATATATATATATACATATATGTGTGTGTATGTGTGTGTGTATGTGTGTGTGTATATATATATGTACATATATATATATATTATACCACAATGAGTATTTCTTTTATTGATTTATTTTTGGTTTTTAGAGACAGGTTTCTCTGTGAAGCCCTGCCAATTCTGGAACTCACTCTGTAGACCAGGCTGGCCTTGGATTCAGAGATCTGCCTGGCTCTGCCTTCTGAGTCCTGGGATTAAAGGCATGAGCCACCTCCTGGGCATAATGAGTATTTCTCACTTTCAGTGTATGTGGGGATTTTTGTTTGTTTGGTTTTTGTTGTTTTTGTTTTGCTTTTTGTGTTTGGAAATACCCCCTTGGTAATAGATTCCCTGAGAAAGAATGTCTGTTACGAGTAGTTTTCCCGCCAGCCTGGTCCCACTGCCAAGTCAGCCCCCAAATAACACACAGAGACACTGTATTAGCTATAAAGCTGTTGGCCTGTTACTAGCATTTCTTATTGGCTCTGTCTTAAATATTAACCCATTTCTATCAATCTAAGTATTTCCACATGGTCTTATCTTACCGGAGAGAGGGTCGGGACCTCTGTTCTCTCAAGTCTCTACATTGTGAATCTCCTCCTACCTCTCCCTGAATGCTCCTTGTCTCCTAATGCCACCTGTCTTTCTTTCCTATTGGCCAACAGTGCTTTATTCATTAACCAATACGAGAAACATATTTACAGAATGACATCTCCCATCAAATGTCAAATGTGCTCATGAGTGCCAGGCATGGTGTCATTTCTATAGTCCCAGAGTCTAGGAGACTGAAGCAGGAGAAGCTATGATCAAGGGCAGCCTCTGCTACTTAGCTAGACCTTGTCTCAGAATAAAGGACAGTGAGCATCCCTTAAGTCATTCCTGACGTTGTTGCTTTCTACATGTTAGAAGAACATAGAACTTGCAGTTCAAAAGTAAATTATGGCTAATTAAATTATGATGTGATCATGTAAGATACAGTTGTAAACTGGGCAGTGGTGGCCCATATCTTTAATCCAGGCAGTTGGCAGGCAGAGGCAGGTGGATCTCAGCGAGCTCAAAGCCAGCCTGGTCCACAGATGGAGTTCCAGGACACCTAGGGCTGTTACACGGAAAACCCTGTCTCAGAAAAAACCAAACCAAAGCAAACAGACAAAACAGATACAGTTGTTAAGTATCTTTTGGTGAACCATTTTCAGCCTCAGAAAAGGGGATGCTAATGCTAATGTGGAGATTGGGGCAAAGGAGTTTAGAACTAGAACTCTGCAAAGAAATTTAGCTCTCCTGGTTACCATGCTCACAGTCAGCATATTCTGGTTGCTTTATTTGAGGAAAGTTGAAAAACAATCAAAATCTGTTTGGAGATAACAGGACTCTGTATGTAGTAGAGCTCGTTAACCTTGAACTCAGGACCTCTAGTTTCTGCCTCCAGAGTAGTGAGATTGCAAGAGAGCACCACCTCGAAGAGCTTTTAGCTAATTAACTAATTAATCAACTAATCCCTTTTTGAGACAGGGTCTCATTATGAAGTCCTCCCTGATCTGAAACTCATGTGTAGACTAGACTGACTTTCTACCACAGAAACCCACTGGCCTCTGCCTCCCAAGTGCTGGGATTAAAGGTTTGTGTCACCACACCCAGCCACCCCGAGTTCTTAAAAGGCTAATTTTAGATTAATGTGTATTTTTTTGAGACTGGGTCTTGCTATATAATCCAGGGTGGCCTGGAACTCAGAACCCTGAGTGTTGAGATTACAGGTGTGTGCTACCACGTTGGGATCCAAGTATGGTTTTGTTCTAAATTGTTTTATTACATTTATTTCCTTATTGTGTGTGCTTACTCATGTGGCTAACTGAGCATATGCAGTAGCGCCCAATTCTCTTCTTGTACCATGCGGTTCCCAGGGGTCAAACTCAGGGTGTCAGGGTTAGCACCGTGTGCCTTTACCCACTGAGTCTTCTTGCCAGGCCCCCGATCTGTTTTTTGAATGGCTTTTTAAAATGTGCTTTTATTTTGTATGCATTGGTGTTTTGCCTGCATGCTTGTCTGTGTGAGGGTGTCCCGATCACCTGGAACTCAAGTTCCAGTCACAGACAGTTTTTTGTTAGTTTGTTTTGTTTTTTACCTTTTTCCAGGCAGGGTTTCTCTCTGTAGCTTTGGCGCCTATCCTGAAACTTGCTCTGTAGACCAGGCTGGCCTCAAACTCACAGAGATCTATTTGTCTCAGCCTCCCAAGTGCTGGGACTAAAGGTGTACCCCACCACCGCCCAGCTCCACGGTTTAAAGATGCCCTGTGTGTGCTAGGAATTGAACCCAGGTCTTTTGGGAAAGCAGCTGGTGCTCTTAACTGCTGAGCCACCTCTCCAGCCTCTCCCCCTGGTCTGTTTTGAAGTGGGAATCTTTATCACCCCATGAATATTATTTTATTTACAGTCCTTGTTCCGTTTTGCTTGGCTAAAACATTTTGGTGGATTCTGCTATCAAAGCACGGTCTTCTGAACTGGCAGTGGGTGTAGGGCTCACCGTTACAGAACGCCAGATATCCGTCTGTAACAGGGTTGACGGTTTAAATTAGTCAGACCTCAGCAAAGAGCCTTGAGCAGTGGTGCAGAACAAGAGGTTAGCGCAATGCAACTGACTGAGCTCATCTTACTGTCCCTGAAACAGATGTCTGAGAGCAAAAGGGATGAAGACAGTGTGACAAGTGCATCAGTGAGTAAAGGTGAGAGTCGGCCGCTGGCGTCGGACCAGGAGGGGGACATGTGCTGCTGAGTGTGGAGCAAGAGCAGAAGGGAAGAGCAGAGAGAGGCTGTGAGACCTCAGCAACCAGCCAAGGCCCCGGGGCCAACTCTCTGCTTCCCCCTCCCAAGTGCAAAGACAGCTCAGATGCCCCAGCAGAGCCGCCACAAACTACAAACTAGTGGCAGAGAGAACTCATTTTGTTGTCAAGTCTCAGGGCTTGCATTCACAGAGCTATGTGTCTGTAATATTTGTAAAATGTATTGATATGAAAGATTTCTGTCCCCCAATTTACAGAGAAAGAAGTGTCCCTTCTCCTTGTTCTCTCTAGACTACTGATTGCACACACGGTACTCCTTTTGATTTTTTTGCCAGACCCTTGCCTTCCTGGGCCATCTCATAGCTGTAAACTTTGAGTGAGTATAATGCTAGCATAAAGGTTATTGCCCTCAAAGTTAAAGGGATGGAGACATAGATGGATGTTGGAACTCAGCATAGTTGTCCATGCGGCTTCTTTGTTGAAGTGAACCATAGCTTCAGAACACTGGAAGAATATTTCTTAATTTTGGGTTGCTACATTATATAGGTGGCAGCTGCAACAATCTACGTTAGAAACACATTCCCCACCATTTCTTAGCCTTGGACAATCTTTTTGCTAGTTTCCAGGTAAACGCTCCTCCGATGATGGTTTTGAGCTGGCAGCATACTGTCACGGAACAGAGCTGGAGACAGATGTACAATAATAGCACAGCCTCAAATAGTGCTTTCCACACCCAGATAAACGGCTTTGAGAGCACAAAGCACAATAAACTGTAGTAAGATAATTAGGAAATTATGGGCATTAAGTAATTATCACCTTTTTGGTAGATTGACTTAATTGTGAATTTGTGTAATTTGTTTAGTAATGATGGTTTAACCATCTCACAAAGTTTCCAAAAATGTATTAGGGTTTTTGAATTGGAACCTGCCAACACTAGCATAGGAAAGAGCATGAGGAGAAGAGATGCTTCTTGCTGTCCAAATCACTCTCATACACACAGTGCAGGCTTTGCGACGTCAAGACAAAGGGGAAAGGTCCCTGTCGGGGAACTCTCTTCTCTGGGAACCTTCCCATGTGGGGTTTACAAAAGTTCAAAAGTGATTTCAAGAATCTGTGAGCCCCCCCCCCAGTCTTTGTGGGGTAGGGTACAGTACTAGTAGTCATTTTGCTGGCATTAGCCCGTGATTAAGAAAGGCAGTGATTTGACCGATAGCGGTCCTACACATGTGTCGGGCTTTCTTGGGTAATGTGAGGTTGCTAGCCAAGGCCCCATCATTTTGAAAAGAGCCATTTTGAAAAGTTCTAGCAGTTTCCTGAAACCACAGTAATCGGCATCCAAGACTACATACAATAACTTACTCCCCTAGATTCCTGCCATTGCCCCCACCGAAGACCCTGATAATGGCTTGCCGTCTATGTGTGGTCAGATGACCTATTTATTTAGATAGGCTCTTACTGCGTAATCCTACCTGACCTGGAACTCAACTTTGTGGACTAGACTGGCCTTGAACTCACAGAGATCCATCTGCCTAGGAATCTGCATCCCCAGTGCTGGGATTAAACACTTGTCATCAAGTCTGATTGAAGGACTTAACATTCTTTAACTGATTACTTACTCGTTATGTCAAACAAAAGCCAACTGCAAACCAAAACCAAAACTTGAACCCTCTTCCCCTGACCTAGTCCCTCTGCCCTGTAACTATGCCAGCTTGCAAGCAGAAGGCAGGCTCTGCCCTTACAGACACCTAGGGGTCCCAAAGCTGCACTCTTAATGGTTCTTCCCTTGTCTGACTATCCTCCTCACTAACCTTCCTTTTTGTTTGTTTGTTTTGTTTTTTTGAGACAGGGTTTCTCTATGTAGTCTTGGCTGTTCTGGAACTCACCCTGTAGACCAGGCTGGCCTTGAACTCACAGAGATGACCTGCCTCTGCCTCCCCCATGCTGGGATTAAAGGTGTGCGCCACCACCATGGCCTTGCTTCACAGATCTTTCTATAGCAACCAATTATTAATGACTATTATTGTCTAACTTGTCCATCTGTTTTGTTGGTTAGCAAGCAAAGAAACTTCCTACAAGCGACAGAGTAAAGATGGACCCTGGGACTCCTCACAAGTGATGAAGAAACCAAAGCAGAACCAACTCTCCATGGTAACTGACTCCGAAGTGGCTTTGGTGAATGCCTACTTTGAACAAAGACGAGCTAGGCGCCATTCCCAGTTCCACCGGGTGAGTCAGACCCAGCAAGACAGTGATACCACTGAGTGTGACAGTGAGGAGTCTAACTCTGGAGCCTCCTCGTGGAAGGAGAGCGAAAGTGAGCACCACCCATCGCCTGCCAGTGTCAAGAGGGGAAAGCCAGTGCCGAGGCCAAGAGAGCTGGAGAATTACCAAATCAGAGAAAGGCCCTGCCTCCACTGCAAAGCCATGAGAACCAACGAATGGTTGACACGTCACTTCCCGCCAAGCACGTCAGTAACCGCCACGAAGGGAGAGATCCAAGAGGAGAATTTGACACCCGGCATCAACACAAAATTAAGTAAATTTTGAATTTTGGCACCCTTGCCTTACTTGAAGTCAAAAGAAGGAGATGAATAAAACATGAAAACCAGAGTTGTAGGTGAGGAGACATTTACAATAAATCCTCTTTGCTAACAACGAAAGTATAATTGGAACCCAAGAGGTCAAATTTCAGACAAATTCATTGTTCAAAACAAGGGCAGAGAATTTTTTCATGCCACCACAGGAACACGGAAGACTTGTATCTTCTATGATCTTTTTTTAAATCAAAAGAGCCCAGGTCAGATAGTCCGTCCATACCCGAGGGTATGTGTTTTGTTTATGTCAATGATAAAAATATAAAAGCTCTTCGAAAATATATTTATGTTGAGAAACCATTTAAATCTATTCATATGTTTTTGATTATCTGACCGACTTAACAAATGAGGTGACTAAATGGACCAGGTGAGATTTTTTTTTAATAGCTGAGATGTCTCTACTAGAACTGTATTGATGGGTATATCGAGTCCACGAAGGGCTGTTGAGGAAAAGGAGCTTAAGGGCCTGGAATCTGACCTTATTTCTAGAGTACATTAGGGAGAAAGCAGTAATTAGAGTACTTCAGGTGACTCAGAAGGCAGCTGGGCCGTGGCTTGTCCTAGGTCGTTGTCCGAAGACCATATCAAGTGTTAAAGCTTTTTTTTCCTGACACTTGTTAAGGTAAGGAGAGTGGCCAGGCAGTGGTGGCACACGCCTTTAATCCCAGCACTCGGAAGGCAGAGGCAGGGGGATCTCTGTGAGTTTGAGTCCAGCCTGGTCTACAGAGTGAGTTCCAAGACAGGTTCCAAAGCAATACAGAGAAACCCTGTCTTGGAAGAAAAAAAAAAAAAAAAAAAGATAAGGAGAGCATTTTTATTTGATATTATTACAATAGAGATCAATAAAGGAGCTACATAGACATGAGAGCCTAATGCAAGATAAGTGATTCATAGCAAAGGAGAAGAGTGGGAGAGCTATTGGATGGAAACTACTAAAAGAGTTTCTAACTACTAAAATAGACAATCCCTGCCAAACTTACCTGATTTTTTTTTTTTTTTTTTTTTTTTTTTGGGAAACGATCTCACTAGGTAGCTTGGCCGGCCTGGAACTCATATAGGTCTGCCCTCAAACTCACAGAGACCTGCCTGCCTCAGCATCCTGAGTGGTTTGAGCCACCACATCAGGCCTCTAACATGATTTGCGAAGGTAGGACTTAACCATCTCAAGTATGGTCAACTATCAACTTAACAGGATTCTTGCTAAAACAGCTCAGTAGGTCAGACAGAACAGGTCCAAAGTTGAAGCCTAGTCAAAGGAGAACTCAGAAGAACCTGTCTGAAGCTTGGTAGACGAGAGGGTCTTTAACACAAGTAGCTGAAATCTAGGCAAGCTTGGGGCTAGATTTTTCATTTAAGTTTGGGACCCTAGCAATGAAGAGTTCAAGACTAAGAGGGATGGGTGGCCGTTCTGTGGCTCACTTTCCAGGTGACTGGCAGGATCCCAAGGTCCAGATGCAAGAGAGGGTTGGCAAGGATAAGAAAATGTGACATAGACTCTGGTCATGGGGCTAGAGTTCAAACAAGGGTATAGGCCTTGGAAAGGACTTGATTACCATCTATGGTGGATAATGTAGCCTGATACTAAGGTCTAAAACTTTCATAAGAGGTAGGGAACGGACTAGCATAGACAACAGACAGCTATGACTTTGGACCCAGGATTCACCTTGGCAAGAGCCTTGACTAATTCTAACAAAGACTTTGGAAGCAACATAGATGTCTAAAGAACTGGGGTCTAATTAGAATAATCTGTGAGAATACTGACAGAAGACAGAGGTAGAGCTGCTCGTAGAGCACATGCATAGCATACATGGGCTTTGGCTTCCATCCCCTGTACTGCATGAACCAGGTATGGAGGTGCATGCCTGTGATCCCCCCACTAAAGGGGTGGAGAGGCAAGAGGGTCAGGAGTTCAAGGAGTTTAAGATCAGCCTGGGATATAGGGATATAGACCCTGTCCTAAAACAGCACACTACTGTAAGGAACCTTACTCCTTACACACTACAGAGAGGAGGGAGTTGCCCCAAACCAAATGGATGAGACATAGATGTGGTTAGATACGGAACGAAAACATAGACGTCTAGGTTGGGACTAGATTAAAGACTGCAGTAAAGAATTGGCAGAGTGGGAGATTGCACATGAAACGGAGGCTGCAAATGCTGCTCCTAGCTGGGCATTGCCTTCATGCAGAGCCCAGCGGCACTCTCATGGTGGAACTGCAGGCCAGCAGGGCAGTCTAGTCTCATGGTCAAAGCCTGCCACCTGTTTGGCTGGCTGGTTTGAGGGAAGGCTTGCCTCCATTTGGTAATTCATCCCTGCTAGGTTTCAGAAATGACCTCCGTTAACAACTGCATCAGAGTCTCACAACTCTCATCAGGAACTGAGAGACAAAGAACTGTGGAAAGCAGGAAAGGTTCTGACTGAAATGGAAGCGATGGCGGGGATCGTGTAAGCAGGGGGGGATTTGCAGAAAGTCAGGGACACAGATTACCAATTGGCTTTGCCAGATTGGCTGATGTGGCTATGCTTGGTGCCAGTAGGCCCGTCAGGGTGGCAGAGAAGCAGGCTGAAGCGTTCCCTTAGTCTTTTGTGGCCTTGACTCAGGTAAAACCAGAAAAGAATGGAAGGGGAAGCTGCGTGAAGCAGAGCTGGCGTTGGGTGAACATAGGAAAGCGGTGTACGTGGGGGACACTGGCAGACCTCAGAGCGTGGGGGAAGAGTTGTGCTTACACGTCTTAGCGTTAACCACTGTGGCTCTGAAGTTAAGAGACCAGCATTTTCTCTCTTATTAAAGGTGACGCCTTAGCTATAATCTGATAAGATAAAATCCAGAGCCGCTGGGGCTACCCGAGGGGCTCAGAATATATATTCTACTATAAGTGGGGTTTCTAGTGAGATTCCTAGAGAATAATAGGTTTATAGACTAGAAAGGAGAAAGGCCTTAAGCAAATATTAATTGTATTAGAATTCTTCTCATCTGGTCCAGATTGCAAGCTCTTAGGTGAGGGTTTTTTTTCTGCTCATGTCCACATGATTTTCTCTGTCTTCCGGTCTCACTTAAGGGTAAATCTAGGTAACAGAGACACAATGTTGTTATTGGAGCCGGGAGGCAGAGGCAGGCGGATCTCTGTGAGTTCGAGGCCAGCCTCTACAGAGTGAGTTCCAGGACAGGCTCCAAAGCAATACAGAGACATCCTGTCTCGAAAAAACAACTACAAAATAAATAAATAAAAATAATGTTATCTGGGGAACATTTAGAGAATGATTGCTTCATTTCAGATACAAGTAAGCATTTATAAAAAACTATTTTCACACATCTGCAAGACAGGTATTATTCTAAGCTGGGAATGATGAAACGAGGCAAAGGGAACTGGTGATGAGAGGTCTAACCACAGACATGACCATGACAATATGTTATCCGTTTTGTTTTTACTTTATGCGCGTGTATGTGTGTGTGTGAGTGTATGTGTGTGAGTGTATGTGTGTGTGTGTGTGTGTGTCTGTGTGTATGTCTGTGTGTGTATATGTGTATGTGTGTCTGTGTCTATGTGGGTGTGTATGTTGTGTGTTTGTATCTGTGTGTGTATATGTGTGTGTCTGTGTATCTGTGTGTGTGAGTGTGTGTATCTGTGTGTCTGTGTATCTGTGTGTGTGTCTGTATGTCTGTGTATGTGTGTGTGTATCTGTGTGTGTGTGTGTCTGTATGTGACTGAGCATATGTCATGATGCACATGTGGAAATCTGAGGACAGCTTGCTGGAGTCTGTTCACTCCCAGTGGGGTTCAGGGATTGAACCCAGTTTACCATGTTTGGTAGTGAGTGCCTTTACTTTCTGAGCCATCTTACTTGCCCTTATTCATGTTCTTCTTCTCAAAGGCTTATTTTATGTGTACAAATGTTTTGATTGAATGTATGTATCCATACCTTGGTGTCCACAGAGATCAGAAGAGGGCCTCAGATCCCCTGGAACTGGAGTTATGGATAGTTGGGAGCAACCATATGGGTGCAGGAAATTGAATCTAGGTCCTCTGCGAGAGTTACAAGTGCTCTTGACCACTGAGTCATCTCTCCAGCCTATTATGTATTTGTTCTTGTTGTTTGAGATAGGGTCTCACTGTGCAACCCTGGATGGCCTTGAACTTAGAGCTCTGCCTACGACAGGCTCTTGAGCATTGGGATGAAAGCCATTTGCCACCATATCTGTCTTCTGCTGTGAAAATTTGGCACACCAAGAACCAAATACAGACTAGAGGACTGTCGGTGGAAAATATAGAGGACTGTCGGTGGAAACCCGGAACTGAATAGAGATGGGCACAGTTGTAAGAGAGCTGGGGGCTCACCTCTTTGGTGGAAGAACTCGCAGCTCCCTCTTGCCTCAGCTTCTGTGAGAAAGCCTGGTTTGGCTCAAGACAAGAGGAGGAAAGCCTATAAAGGCTGAGCTGGATGCTGGAATGAGTGAGACCGAACGTTGAATAGCAGGAGGCAGCAGGGACAAGGACAGTGAGGGTCTCAGAGGAGGAGAATGAGGGGCTCTGATCTAGAAGGGTAAGGAGTAGGGACTCTACTCCATCCCAGAGCGAGGCTTCCTGAAGGCAGCGCAGCAGCTCCTCAGAAAACCAGATAACAGCTGCAGCCTTGCTCATAGCCAGCCCCCTCTTCTCCCGGGAAGGAATGCGCTTATCTGCCAGTGTATCCATCCTAGGAGGCCGATTTCCAAACAGCTATACTTTACCCTCATCACTCTATACTGTGGCTTTGTGGTTCGTGGTTAACAACCACAGATTCTAAACATTGGGTTTTTTTTTTTATTGTTTTGGGTTTCTTTTTTTTGGTTTTTTTTTTTTTTTTTTTCAAGACGGGGTTTCTCTGTGTAGCTCTGACTGTCCTGTAACTCATTCTGTAGACCAGACTGGCCTCGAACTCGCAGAGGTCCATCTGCCTGCCTCTGCCTCCCGAGTGCTGGAATTAAAGGTGTGCACCAGAACTGGCTGATTAATTATTAATTTCTTACTGTGCCTG